TTACTAAGTGCCTTGTTTTATTTACCATGTCCTGCCATATTTTTCAACTGTCATTTGTGGATGGATGTCATAAGGTTTCTAAAAATGTAAACTTCTCTTCTTTGATGCACATTTAATTTATTTTCAGTAATTGGAAAAAAAAAAAAATATAGAAGCACAGAAATCAGACACATCTTTCCTTCACTTCCACAAAAGGTGTTGTAATTCTTCCAATTTCCATCCATCTTCATTTTTGTTCTTGTTCTTTTTCCTTGTTCTTGTTCTGCTTCATTTTCTTCACTGTCTTTTGCCTTGCCCTGTATCCTCAAGCCTTTTGCCTTTTTATGCTTTTTTTTTTCCTTGATTTACCCTTAAATACTTTGATTTTTAAGTCTATGGGGTTAACAACAGTAGCACTTTAAATCCCAGTAATGCTAGCGACTAGCATTACGTTATCTTGGTCCAGTTTCCATTTTGCTAGCTCCTAAAGCTGGTGCTATATTCAGAAGTGAAGCAGTCTGCTGCTCACATCTCTGATTTAAAATAGATCATTCTTAAAATGTTCTGTTTTATATTGGAATGAAGGATGGGGTTAAATCAAGATACTGTCAAAAGAAATCTGTGAAACAGTAGAAAGGAATGGTATGCTTTATTTTATTTAAGTAAAGGAGCTTCCCATGGGTCTGTGCTTCACTCTAGAGCATTATTGACCCACTTTAGGAAATCTTTAATTGGCAGATCAGTGAGCCATGGTGAAAGTCTGTGAAATGATGGTTTGGATGCATTGCGCTATTGTTCTTGCTGAAAACTACCTTTCTTGATGTCTTGTTGCTGCTGCCAGCACCTGCACCAGCAAAGCATCACATGAGGCTTTGATTATGTGGCTCTTTTTCTCTCATTTTTTTTATTATGAAAAAGCTCTTGAAAAGGAATAATGGACTCCATGCAGAGAGAAATCTGGAGAAGGTTTTGCAGTACATAAACAATGTCAGTTTTGAGCATAGCATGGACTCTAACGAAATTGCATCTGGATATTCAGCATGGTAATTTGGCATTGGTATTTAATACTGTGTATTTATTGGTTGATACAACTTCAATGAACAGTTTGTTCATTTTTAACAGTGACTATTCTCCTAGTTGTCATGCAGATGGTGACTTGTTTTTTTTCAGTTTTTATCCTGATAAATTAAAGTGAATGGAAGAGGCTTGCTTCAGCATTCCTTACAGCATAATTGAGTAGTTTCTGCAGTGAATTGCTAATGATGCTCGGCTTTGCAAGACACAAGTGCAGCCATGACCTGTTGTGGTTTAGATGTTGCAGTAGTAGAATGGTGGGGCTTTGCATGGTGCATGCTTTCATTACTTTTTCTTCTATTCCGGCTTTGTGCATATACCTGGTAATTTTGCTGCACGATTGTCTGTGCATCAATTAAAAATACTCTCTTGTTTTTAATAGTTTCCTTCCCCTGTGTTTCACTTTTTTTCTACAGTAGTTATTAAAACACAATTCTAATACAAGATAATTGCTATTGCTATCTGTAAAAGTATGTTCTTTGATTTATATTTTTGTATGCTGCTTAGCCTGCTGAGCTCGTTCTTTGAGTATAAATATTTAAAAATTGTGTGTATTCTATTTAGCAACTTCAAGGAAAAAAATGAGGTTGCTTTCTTGCATTCTGTTTTGAAACCTGGAAATTAAATAAGGGAATTATCAAATACAAGTGCAAATGATTGTCCAATAAATATGTTGCTATAAAGGTATCTTTTTATTTGTGCTTAATCCTCTCTCCACAAACAATATATTTTTAAGTTTTCTTGAGCTTTTATTCTACAGTTGAATTCAGTTGGTACTAACGTAAGTAGCACTATATTTCACTGTGTGAACTCAGGTGATTTAAGAGGTAGGGTTTGTGGTTCTTTCACATGGTTGTTTGTTCATTCTTTAATGAACTGGGTTATCATCAAATGAAGAAAATGTCTGCCTCTGCTAGTGGCTGTTCCTTTTTCTCTACTATTGTTGTTTTTAGTTTAACACAGGTTCTGTCTTCCTTAGTCTAAAGATGTCTGGACTGCCTCTGGTAAACCTGAGAATATCTTTGAGAAGCACATTTTGTTCACTTGTTCCTGCTAAATTTTTGTGTCAGGGCTGCAAATTAAACAGCATAGCCAGTCTATCACAGCCCAGAAGATGCCTCCAAAGATGTATTCAGGCTCTCTATCTTTGTCAGGTTTTTTTTTTTTTTCCATGCATTTGTAGGGCTTCACTAATCAAGCTATAGTGCTTAAATTCTGGTCTTTGAATGCCAAGCAGGAGAGAGTCGGCAGACTGCTTGGCTAGGGACAGACATTGCACACAAACTGGTTTAAACCTGTAACAGAACAGATATTCAGTGCACATAAACCAGTTTGAAAATTGGCTGAAACTGGTATGAGATAAACATGGTTGAACTGGTTTGGCTCAAACCAGTTTATGCAAGGTCTGTCCCAGACCCCTTGCTGACTTTAAGATAAACCAGACACCCCCAGCATTCTGGCATGCTCTTGGGCTGGGTGGGGCTCTGCTCCACAGCAGGGCTGGCCCCGCCCCTCCGCTGTCTAGCCAGAGCAGAGGCAGGGTGTAGCCAGATGCTAGCCTGCCATGGCCCCTGAAGCAAATTTCTCCCTTTCTGCCTCCCTACCTCCCTGTGCTGGCAAACCCTGGGGACCACAGCTGCTGTTTGCCAGCCCCAGCTGCACCTCCATGGCTTGCCTGCAAACAGGCATGGATGGAGTTAATTGCTCACTTTGTCCCCTTTCTCCCCCAGGACTTTGGCTTCAGTTTTTTTGGGTTTTTTTAACTTCATCTCTGGACATTCATATAGAGCTTTGATACTTTTTTTTTTACCACCTATTTTTATTTAAGCATATCTTATATATTTATATAGTTTGGCTTCCACCTTTGTCTGCTTTCATGTAAACCTTGCACAACCTCACCATGACCAAACTCCATATCTCACAATTTTCATCTTAATCTTTTTCCCCTCTTGCTTTTAATGCCACTGATTTAATATGTAGTCCCCCTTTTAAATGTCTTACTTTTTGCTTGCTGCTCATTATTCTTTTCAAGTTTCTCCCTGTGCCTCGGTGGCCACTTCTTCAATAGATCTTTCCTACTCTGGGTTTTTAAGAGCATTGATGTTGCGTTGTTGCTTCTAACGTCTTGTTTTCACTGAATGATCTCATGTACTCATGCTACTTTAACTGCTACACTAATGCCTTTGTAACTCAAATCTTTATACTCCTAAGGTTTCTTCACTCATCAAACCCTGTATCTTTTTCTTCAGCCCCAGATCTGTTCTCTAGGGTTCCTCTGATTTTCTTTCTCTCCTTTCTCTTAGGTGTATCCAAATCCTGTGAACTTGTTCCTGCAGCCATGTCTTAATCTGTCTTTGTTATGTCATGCTCAGTCCATGTTGTTTTCACCTCTTACATCTCTCCACTGTTTCAGATTGAAGCTTCTCTCATCTCCAAGGCCTTTCATAATGCTGTTACTAGTTTTGACTTGGTCTCTTACCATATTAGCCTCAACCTTCCCTCTCCTCCTCCCTATACATTTTCTTTCAGATATCTGTTATACAAAGAACATTGCCATTAAACTAGTTTGGCAGAAAGTGGAGTATAGCAGCACCTTTTAACGATGATCTCATTCAGAAATGCATACGTTTTCGTAGTAATGCTTCATCAGATAGCATGAATAGACTAGTCTCTTAAGCCACTTACCATATTTACATGAATATAAGATGACCTAGAACATAAGACCACCCCTCCCCCCAACAATTAGATTCTATATGGGCACTACCATGCATCTTCTTCAGATGGATTGCCCTAAGCTATACTTGTGGCAGGTTGCCATCAGTGTGTTTCCTTAATATAGGCCATGTGTAGGCCAGTATAGTTAGGGTCAGTGTTGGCTGCATTTAATCAACTTCATAATTGGTTTCCATTGCTGAGCACATGCTGCTTTTTGCAGCAGTTAAATGATAGGGAATGTGTTTAATGAAATGTCCTTTTATGTGACTGTAAGATGAGGAGCATTTTTTCCCCCCCATGCTGATGTGAGGGTGGGGGGAACCTTATCTTATATTTGAGTAAATATGGTATCTCTCTAGGTGCTTCTGAAGGCCTGTTTTTATGGCTACACATATAAGAAATTTGACACCTAGCGATGACTGGGTAAGGATCCAAAAATTCAAAATGATCAATTTGTATATGCAGCAAAAATATATGTAGCAACATCAAGTTGTTGTTATTGCTTGTTTCTATTATCTCACATCTTGTATCGGATCCTGAATTCTTCAGGGTAGAAGTTATAATTATAGAACAGCAATGAGCCCTTCAAGCTCAGTGGTGGTTTTGGTGCTACTGATGTGTACCAGTACCATTACCTGCTTTGCAGATAAGCCTTTCTCTTGGTTTGGGTTTGGTTTTAGCTTTAATTTTTTCTACTGATTTTTATTTGAATGGTTGGAAGCTTTGACTCAGGCTGGTGTCTTCTTCAATCTAAAGCTATACTTTAGTATCATGAATAAGCATGGTAGCTGTAGCTTTCTGTAAGATGCCTGCTTTTTGGATTTAAATGTCCAAGAAAAGGAGTCTTTACGTTTTCCCTGGCCTAACTCAATTCAACTGAGAAATTATTTCGGATATTGTTCTTGCTGAATATTGTGCAGCTTCTAATATTTTTATAATATTTTGTAATTTGAAGAATAATGTGATATACATATTCTGATTTTCGCCTAATTATATAGTCTTTTCAAACCTAGGAAGTCAAAAAGTCTTACCTTTCCTAGCAACTGTTCTCAAAGCATTACATTCAACTATGCACTCAGGATTGCAGAAATACATTGAGTTGCTAAACCCATGCTAATTCCTGGTTTTAAAAAAAAATGTTCTGACAGTTTCAGAGGCAATAACATTTGTCTTTCCTGCTTTCATAATTTCTTCATTACTAGAAGTCTTACCCTGCTTTTTCTTCTCTTAAGACTGAATCTGGCTACGGATCAGAATCAAGCCTACGACGCCATGGCTCCATGGTCTCTCTCGTGTCTGGAGCAAGTGGATACTCTGCTACATCAACCTCATCATTCAAGGTTAGTGGCTGACTTAAACCAAGATTTGTGGACAAAGAAGATGCTTTGGAAATGACTTTATTGCAGTTCCAGCTATAGGGAGACCCCGAGTTATTTAATGCTTACCCATAGAAATGTGAAAAATGAAATATCAATGAAGTTATTGTGGCTTCCAGACTTTATACTAATTTAATCTGAAAGGTGCCAAGTTCAAGATATAATAATAGGGGGATGATAAAGAAAGTGTCTATAGTCCTCTCTGCTCCATCAGTTTTAAACTGTGGTGTATTTTCCTTGAGTGGGACATTGCCAAGTAGTATATGTGCCAAGATAGCCTGCCATATTCACCAGTGGCATCATCAGTGGGTAGCACCTCTGCTGTTACATAGTGAGAATTCTAGATACATAAAGAGCTTAGTCTGTCTGTCTGTCTACCTGCTGTAACACTCTTGGCGGGGCGGGGGCGGCATGGCTCCAACCAGTGCTGCATGCAGAGTGAATTGCCCATCAAGAATGATGGAGGGGACAGTGGGGGGGCATAGGCCAGCACTGCTGGCCTGGGGGGTGGGGTGCAGCCCTGTTCCTTGGAGGTGGTAGCAGTGTGGCATGGTGAGGGCACGGCACCGCCTGGGGGGGGGCTCCTCCCCCTCCATCCCCACTGTCATGGTGGCACTCCATCCCTGCTGTCATTCTTGGTGGGCAATTTGCTAGCGTGCTTTATAAAATGCTCTGTAGGTATCGTGCTTTATAAAATGCTCTGTAGGTTAACGGAAAAGGGATCCAAAACCCAAGTTGAAAATTTACTTCTAATGTTTAGTATCTAATTCCATTCATGTTGCAGCCCTTGAGTGTCAACTCTAAAAGGCAGTTTGGTATTAGTATTCCCCTCACCGCCAACCCCTGCTCCATAACTTGCTAAAGTTACAGAAGATCACTTCTGATCATTTTGGGGCCCTTCTAGATGTTCAGGTAAAAGAATGATAGGATCTGGTGCTCAGTCCAAACTATTGCACTTGCTGGACTTGTGGGAGATGTGACTCTGGGATCCATCATCAGATCCTATCACTCCTTATAGCTATGCTGACGGGGCTGTGACTACTCTAACTGATGGGACTTACAGCCATGGCAACACGTGGGGTGCTCCCACAGCTGGGAGTCTTGCTAGATGGCTGGATTCCCAGCTGCAGGGGCATGTTCAAATTTAAAGCTGGATAGAAACCACCTATGAAGTGGTTTACATTTTCAGCTCTAACTTCATAGCTGGGTAGACCATTTTTGTATGCATAGCTAGTTTAAATTTAATTGTATAGTAAACCAGTTCATTGAATAATACATGTAATGTGTAGCAGGGCCTGAGTAAATAGAACCCAGGTCTGTAGTTTTTCAGACGTGGACATTAACTGTGCTAACCAGAGTACTTCATGGCTAGGGACAGGAGTTGCACATAAGCTGGTTTAAGTGATCAGAAACTGGTTTTAACCTGTAACCGGAACAGCAGTTCAGTGCACATAAACTAGCTTCAGAATGGCTGAAACTGGTTTCAGATAAAACTGGTTGAATATAGTATCAGGCTTAACTGATTGAGGTCAAACTGGTTTATGGAACTTCTGTCCCAGACCCCTTCCTGGTTTAAATTTGAATTGGAGTCCCCCAGCATGCTCTACAGCCCTGGGCTGGGCTGCACTGTCTGTTCCACCCAAGCAGGGTTAGCCCTACCACTCTCCTCCGTAGCCAGAGCACTATCACTGCTCTGGCTGGCTGAAAAGGGGTTGGGGGTGCAAAACCCTGATCTGGAATGCAGCTGGGTCTTCCTGGCATGGGTGCAGCAGCCCTTGCCAGATGTCCCCAGCCCCCTTAACCCTGCCCCCTTGCTGTTCCAGTGACAGGAGAGAAGGTAGACTCTGGTACCCTGAAGGGAAGGGGGTGTTTAATCCCCCTATTGCAGGGGAGGGGGTTGAAGGGTGCAGTGCAGGCACCAATAGGCTTTGCTCATGCACCTGGAGCCATGGCAGCCAGACACTGGTAGCCTGAGGAGAAGTGGGGCGGGGGGGAGGGCTTAATCTCCCCATTGCATGCAGCAGTGGTCTGGGTACTGACATGGCTTTGGTTCCTTCCCATGCTGCAGCACCCGGGCTGAGTCCCTCAAGGAGCAGTGCCTGAGGCCAGTGCAGGTCCAGCTGCAGGGAGAGGGCAGGTCAGCGGAGGTGGGGTGTGGGGGAGTTGGAGCTAATTGTGGAGCCCAACCCACTGCTGCCTTCTGCTGCAGCGGAGTGACCTAAGCTGGAGTGGCTCTAGGAAGCAGGGGTCAGTGCCCACTGGCTTCTGCCTCCAGCCCTGCATGGTGGCTACAGTTTGTAGGTGGACTGCAGCTGCAGTGTGGCTTCCTGCCCCTTCCCTCTCCCAGCGGCGGCAGAGCAAACCATCTGGTTGCTGTAGCCCCAGGTGCATAAGTGTAGGCTATCTGTACCTGCACTGCCTCCGCTGCACTGGGGGATTAAGCTCCCCCTTCACTTCAAGGTATGAGGGTCTGGCCACACCTCTGCATCTGCTGCAGTAGCAGTGAGGAGTGACCGAGGATGGGGGGGGGGGGCTAGGATGCAGACCAGGGTGTTGGTTTAAACAATGCCCCAATCATACTGGGACCTGCTGGAGCCTGGCCATGCCCATGCCCTCCCCCATTCAGTGTCCCTTCAGCCAAAGATGTGTTCTGGTCCCCCCTGGCTTCTGGATTGAGCCACTGCAGGCATGTAGCTACATTTCCAGAATCAAAAGTGAATGTCTGTTCACTTGTGACTCGGTTCAGTCTATGTAGGTTAAACTAACCTGCAAAGATTGAACCAATTCAGGCTTGGGCTCTTTGTATGTCTGTACTTGGCCTATAAATTTAATGTCATGTACCTGATTTTGACGGTCTTATTTCTGATCATCATATTTCCCTCCATACCAGAAATAAGTATTTCTCATTTTTTCCATAGTCAAAAATAGGAGTGAAAGCTAACAGCTGGCGTTTTCTGAAAGGGTTCCTTAAATCTAAACGCTTCTCATTTTATAGGTTTAGATTTGTATTTTGAAGGGAAAAGATTAAGATTTTTTTCTGATAACTTATGTAGTAGGTCTGGGTAGTTGCATGCTGATAAAAAATTTTTTACTTCCTTTAAAAAAAAAAAAAAAAAAAAAAAAAAAAAAAAA